GTGACGTGCTCGCATTTCTGCGGCGGGTAGGGGACGCGGTAGCGTCCAGCACCAGTATATACACCATGACGGTGGTGCGACGTCTGGGTGGGTTTAAGTACCTAGAGGTACTGAGAGGGGACCACGAGGGTCCGTTCACTGCTCCTCCTCGGCCGACTTCTCCGCCTCCTCCGCGTTCGGAGTCCCCCGCGCTTCACCTCCCTCTTGTCGCGCCTCCGTGCCTATCTCTATAAAACCTGCCACTGAGCTCAGTGGCACGGAAGTAAGGTGGAAGTAAGGCGGAAGTAAGGCCGTATCTTGGCAACCGTTATGGATGTACTATTACTTCCAAAGGTTTTCCGGTAGCCCCGCTTCTTGGCTACACGATGGTGGTGGTTACGTGCCGGTGGCTGTGCGTCCGGGCCGACGCTGAGCTTACTTCCGTCGGAAGTAAGCGTATCGGACACGGAAGTAAGCTTTTTCTCCACAGGAACCCTATCTCTATAAAACCCCATCCTGAGCTCAGGATGCATGTAGTAAGGCGTAGTAAGGTCATTGTTAGGGCCGTAGCTCCGCAACCGTTACAGATTACCCCTTACTACATTGCGTTTTCCAGTAGCCCCGCTTCTTGGCTACACGTTGGTGGTGGTTACGAGGCGGTGGCTGCGCTCCCCGTCCCACAATGCGCTTACTACGTAATGTAGTAAGGGTATTGGATGTAGTAAGCCATGTAGTAAGCTCATTCTGGCCCAGGAACCCATGTAGTAAGGTGATATTATGGTATATTTTGGTAGCCCTCAACGGTGGCTATCCGATGCTGGTGCGATTGTGGCTGTGCACTCACTACAAAAATTCGCTCTCACCACTAGCACCCCAGGTCAGTGTCCTACCTCTGGCATAGGTAGGGTAGTAAAGTGACTTCTATATGGCCCCTAGTAGCTCCCAGTGACGTCTATAATGTGCAATTTATTCCATATCAATAGCTGTGCTGGGGGTCAAGATATCCCACTGCCTCTGCCAAGCCCTGCCATATGCTGCCCAGTGCAAGGCTCATATCTCGCCCAAAACTCTTGTAGTAAACTCACTTCTTTCCACCTCCTTATACCCCTCAATCAGGGCTACGCAACGCACCTGGTATCATGAATTTACACCGACTGGTTGTCTCAATACTGGCTTACTACATTAGAGGTCACCCTGGGTGGCAGATATGTGCAAGACTCCTATCTTGCTCAAAACCCATGTAGTAAACTCACTTCTTTCTACCTTCTTATAGCCCTTAATCAGGGCTACCAAACGCACCTACGCTCATGAGTATATCCCCAGTGGTTGTCCCAATACAGGCTTACTACATTATTACTATATGAGGAAGTCAGGCTTGGTGACAGGTATGTGCAAGGCTTCTATCTCGCCCAAAACCCGCGTAGTAAACTCACTTCTTTTTACCATCTTATAGCCCCCAATCCGACCTACATAGCGCACCTTGTTTCGTCATTTTATCTGCTCTGGTTGTCTCAATAATTGCTTACTACATGATGTAGTAAGCTTTGTATGCAGAATCAGTGCAAGGCTTCTATCTCGCCCAAAACCCATGTAGTAAACTCGCTTCTTTTTGTGGTCCAGTAGTCCTCTGTCCAGGCTACCAAATGCACTTTGTTTCATTGTCATAACTGCTCTGGTTGTCTCAATATCAGTTTACTACATAATGTAGTAAGCTTTGGAGGGGGATCAGTGCAGGGCTCCTATCTCGGTCAAAACCCATGTAGTAAACTCACTTCTCTGTACGTATAGATAGCCCTCTATCGGGTCTACACAGCGCAGTTTACAGCTTGAGTTTATCTGGCCTGGTTGTTGTGATATTCGCTTACTACATAATGTAGTAAGCTTTGTGTGCAGAATCAGTGCAGTGTCCATATCTCGCCCAAAACCCATGTAGTAAACTTACTTCTTTTGATGGTCTGATAGCCCTATGCCTGGGCTACGCAAATCATCTTGTTTCATGATTTTACCTGCCCTGGTTGTCTCAATATCAGCCTACTACATTGTGTAGTAAACTCTGAGTGGCACATGCATAAAATGCTCATATCTCGCCCAAAAACCATGTAGTAAATGCGCATCTTGGCACCATTCCATAGCCCTGATTGAGGGCTACACAACGCACCTTGAATCATAAATGTATCTTGTCTGGTTCTCTCAATATGAGCTTACTACATTGTGTAGTACTCTGCCAGGGAGGCTTATATAATCAATTGGGGGCTCCCCCACCCAACCCTGACCCTAGATAGATCAATGACATCATATTTTGATGGAGGGTGATTATCTAAGCATTTGAGGTCTCCCCTTATCAACCCTGACCCTAGATACATAGATCAATGACATCATATCTTGATGTGGGCAGCTGATGTAACTAGGTCACAGTGTGACCATGAAGGGCAATTTGCGCACCTTGGTCACGTCACAGGTCACCCTAGTCACCAAGAGTGACATTCAAACCAAAGTGGTTTGAAAGTCACTCTTGGGTGACCTGATTATATAATCCTGTAACTGACCTTGCCTGGCAGGCAACTCTTGTTTGTCCATGTTTGTGTCTAATCCATATTCAATCCTGATCAGTAAAACCTCTCTTGACCTCTTACCATCACCATCACTATCCCCCTTTTCTGCTTATTCTCTCTCTATCTCAACAACAACTATGGGTGGCTTCTGTGATCACTGCCAGACCTCTTATGAGAAGTCTAAAAGCAATCATGAGCAGAAATGCATCAAGTATCTGTTTTCTGTCCATCAGCATCCTCTTTCCAAGACAGGGCCCCTTATTTCTATTCAGAGGGGCTCTGATAATCGTGTTATCTGCCAGTGTCTGGATCAGCAAAATGTGGTCTGCACCAAACGGTTGCTCAACTACAATACCCTGTTTTTCCATCTCAGGGCAGTTGGACATGACAACTGGAAGGTAAGCACCATATATTCTGTATCTCTTCAGATATTGACCAAATATACTAGATACCTGCTGCTGCTGCTCTCCCTCCTATCCCAGAAGACCCTTCTGCCCCTGCCACCCCAGTTGTAAGTTTGTAATCCTGTAAATATTCACAGCACTCAAATATTCTATAGCCTTCGAGACCTGCCTCCCCCAGGAGCCCTGCCTCCCCCATGGATGTTGCGCGGAGCCCAGGGCAGCACTCAAATGTGTCTGGGATGTCTTTGGACCCCCCTCCTTCTCCACAGGGTGAGGCGCAGGCTTCAGAGGTGAGTATAGATTTAATATGTCCCTTACACATTGCTTATTATTATTTCCAGCTCTATGATGTCCCGGACGGCACACTCGCCACCTGGGGCTATCAGATCAATGGCCGGCTAGAAGCCTTGATCTGCATGAGCTGCAAGTCAGTAGTCACCCCTACCGCTGCCATCAACCATCACCACGTGCACGAGGAAGCCCGCGTGGCTGTCAACAAGACTGTCCTGGAGGACATCGTGCGCCAGGGGTTTGTCAAGTCTGGATGGCCTTCTATCAACCCTGGAGACCTGGAGTACGAGGGGCTGGAGCGTAAGTGGGGTGTGGAGTGCCCACAGTGCCCTGCCATGTATACCCATGGTCAAGGGGTTGTTAAACATGTGTGGAAGGTTCACCATGAGAGGATTGTCGCTGAAGGCCTCCGTACTGGCTGGATGCAACGCCTCAGTCAACATGACGCAACCCACCATGGCTGGCTCTCCTGTGTCCCCCGCTCCGCCCAGCTCACCTCCCCCTCTGCCAACTACCTCACTGCCCTGCGCAAGGAGCTCGACGCCCGCCCGCCTATCCCTGCCACGGAACGGGACCACCGCCACATCAGCCCCTGGCATGCCACCACCCGCTGGATGGAGTACATAGATGGTAGGGACCCGCAGGAGATGCTTAATCTCATCAAGCCTCCTGAAGAAGGCCAGCCCTTCTTCTACCTCATCGCCTGCGTCCGCAACTACGTGGAGAGGGCGTATGACTTGATTGCCACCACCAGTGATGTGTGCCTCCAAATCCTGCACACGGACACGGACACCAGGTAAGTCTACATTCTCTTTGCTAGCCAGTCCGCTTATATTGTCCTTCAGCGACTTCAACCACCAGCCGTTTGCGCGGCATCAAGCAGAGGGTACGCTGCGTGCCTACGAGCGTCTCGTGGTGCAACTGCTGCTCTTCCTGCTGCGGGCTGGGCAAGACATGGACCTGCCACTAGACGTGAAGGCCGCACTTCAAGCCCTACACCGTGGCCTGCAAGGTGACATGGATGATGCTGGTCAGGCCATCCATTCACTCCTGCTTGCGCTGTGGATGCGCGAGTGGACCCCCACAGTGGACAACCTCTTCCCGGACCCCACCGTCTGCTTCGTGATCCACACGCAGGTGAACAAGGATGGGAGTTTGAAGAAGCCGGATAGCGTGACGGGGATATTCGCCAAGCTCGTGTATGACATGGTGAGTGATTGTGTGCTGCTTCATTCAATCTACTCTGACCATTTCTAGCGCTTGACATTCCTGTATGAGTGCCACCAGCGCCTCTCGCGGGAAGATCACCCTGCCACCCTCACGCAGTCTGCACATGACTTGCGCCCATGGTTCACCGTGGGGCGTGAGTCTACCTTCCACTCACTCAAGTCCTTGCAGCACCGCGCGTCCAGCATCACCATGTCCACGCAGAACGAGCCCAACATGGTGTGGAAGGACGGAACCAACTTCTCCACCCTCATCTATCTAGGTGAGGAGCTTTCCCTCCAGGCCCTACGCGAGTGCCAGGGCGCTTTGGAGGATGCAACGAAGACGCTTCTCGAGGACACCCTGCTGTTTGGCCACCACTTCCCCATCGACATTGCCGCGCTGCAGGATGACATGGGCAACAAGAAGGCAGGCTACTCGCTCTTCGCAGACCGCCGTAACCAGGATGCGCTGGGCCCAACGGACCAGCTTGCAGACTACATCCTTCGGACCCCTGCGCTGCGGAAGCGCTTCGTGATCAAGATTGTGGATGGCAAGGTCATCTGGAACACCGTGGAGCTGTCTATCTGGCTGTCTGGGTTCACTCGCCTCAACCTTCTCTGTCTCATCCAGGCTGAGATGAACTGTGGTGCGCCTGGTCGTACTACGGAACTCACTGCCATGCCTACTGCCAACACTCCTGCCGGCATGCTCCGCGCCCTGCGCATCATTGGGGAGTACATCGTGCTCATGCGGACGTACCACAAGATGCGCGCTGCCTCTGGTCTGGACCGTGTCATTCCCCATGCCCTGAACGCGGCGCTCGCAGCCGTGTTCATCTACAAGGAGGCAATCTGCCGCCCCTTTGCGCAGCTCTGCGTGAGCGTGCTCTTCCCAGGCAACCAGAAGGTGAAGTCGCTCTATCAGGACTTCTTGTTTGTCAACTATGACAGGCCCTTCGATGGGGAAGACATCACCAAAGAGATGAGGCTCTGGACGCAGGCCTATCTGGGTATTGAGCTTGGCATCTCCAAGTGGCGCCAGTGCTCTACCCCCTTCCGCCGCAAGCATGCTGGCCTGGAGGAGATGTGGCTGGAGGACCAGGACACGGTGGACTCTGCGCAGGCTGGGCACTCGCACAGTGTGGACACTACCCGCTATGGTGTCACCAACTGGTCTGCAACTGGCCTGGCAGAAGACTACATTGGGCCGTTCCTCAAGACTTCTGTGCTCTGGCAGAAGGTTCTTGGCCTGGTGCCAGGTAAGTTTCTTCTGCTGTCTCAAATATTCTGGCTTACCCAAGTTTACAGGCGGGAACCGTCTCTCTCTGGAGGATGCTGCACGTGTCAACTTCAAGCCTGAGCCTGCCCGCCTCCCCATTGCTGCTCCAGCTGGGTTGGATGTACAGGCCATGGTGCAGGCTGCCGTGCAGGCTGTCCGGGACGAGCTAGAGCCCAGACTCACTGCTATTGAGCAGCGCATTCAAGACACATCTGCCTCAACCAAGCAAGAGTTGCAGGGGATGTTTGCGGACCTCAAGACCTTCCTGGCTGGTGCCAGTGTTCCTGGACCCATGGCTGGCCCCTCCGCTCAGGTACAAGCACCTGCACCTAGGCTTCCACGCTCCCCCAGCCCTGGTAAGCCATTATTTATTTATCTGAGCACATTGCCTTATATTCTGTGCAGAAGACCGCACAGAAGGCATGTACCGTGACGACGTGTTGCCTGCCCCAGCCCCTGCCCATGTTGCTCCCATTCCACGTGCCCAGGTCCCTGTTCCGCTGCCAAAGCCAGGTGAGTTGTATTCTGCTTTCAATCAGCATAGTCTGACTCTTGTACAGCACCCATTCCCACTGAGGCTGAGGCCTTGGATGCGCTGCGTGAAGTGCTGCTCAAGCCTGAAGCAAAGTGGTCAAATGAAGGCCAGAAGCTTGCGGTTATGGCTGGGCTGCAGTGGAAGCAGGACCTCATCGTTGCGCTTCCTACTGGCTTAGGCTTAGGGTTAGGGTTAGGGTTAGGGTTAGGGTTAGGGTTAGGGTTAGGGTTAGGGTTAGGGTTAGGGTTAGGGTTAGGGTTAGGGTTAGGGTTAGGGTTAGGGTTAGGGTTAGG